GGCATTCGAACCTCTTCTGAGACCGATGTTTTTGGATGGTTACACGCGGGACCACCGTAGTTAAATAAAGTGTTAGTCTGGTTGCTTCGGGACTTAATTAACTTTTCTAGCGGATAAAATGGCGGGAAAGCGGAACTAATCACTGACTTCGACCTAACGTTGAGAGTTAGAACGTGTGTATTCATCTCCACTCCTCAAATCGACTTGATTTATTGACTGTCCGACTTCACGTTTGATGATTCCCGGGAAACGGGAAAATTTGAAACGTCTTTTCTTTTATGTTTCGTGTCTTATCGTGACTTTGTAGCGGATTTTGGTTCCCTTATGTGTTCATATATGCTACTACGTTTTGTCTTCATTTAAGCACGACAAGTAAGTTTTGTGACGAGGAAGCAGACAGTGATTAATAGACCGGTGAAGCCTGTCACATAGTAATATTTGTAATGTAATCAAAGATGTAGGCTTCTTCAGATTCACGTAAAATATTTTGCATCTGTTCATTGTCTTTCCGTGTACTCACATATAATGACGCTGTTTCAATGTTTTTCAGTTTTTACACATGTATTACAGTTCTGTAATTTCGTGTTTTCCAGTTTTTTCACATGTATTACAGTTCTGTAATTTCGTGTTATGTTTTATTTTATGTGTTCATTTACTGAATTTTTAGCTCCGTGGGGTGTTAGAAATTGTTCTGAAACATTCAACATGCGTTTCACTGTAAACCAGTATTACATGTCTATACGTGACATGTTTTGATATTTCGGTATTAGTGTAAGTTTTTATACCTTGAATCTGAATATTTAAAATATTTTCAGTATCAACAGTCAACTACGGGTCTCTTAAAGATGCTGCATCATCAGAAAGACAGAGATTTGTGCATACGAGGAGTGAACATGTGTTCAGCAACATCTTATGTACTTTGGACATTTTTACATTTGTTCCCTATTTAGTAACTGAGACGCTTGGTAAATATTTGCGAAGATTGTGAATTATTTTAACAAAAGGTATGCTAGAAACGCGATATCTCGTCTGGCAACACTGATTTTTTTCTACACGGAATTTCAGTCTGCTGACGTTTTAACGTAACTTTGTGCTTCTGTTCCCAACTGGGAGTTTCCTATAGCTTAAAAAAAATAAAGTAAAATGTATTTGTCGTTAAAGAAATTGGGAAAATAAAGAATTTAAATATGAAAAAAATCGATACAATGTCATAATATCCGCAAATCATGCCAGAACCTGTTAAGTTAATGATTGGAGAATCTGTGAGTTATATATTAGTTGGGAGTTGACATCAAAGTAGTTCTAGACCAAGATAATTGAGACACATTTCATAAAACCCGAAGGTCTACTATTATGTAAACAATAGTTGCCGATGGACCCTATCCTGATGCAACCGTATTTCCGTAAGCAACATTTTAATAACATCCTTCCATGTACACACATTTCTTTCTTTAAAGTTTTTAAACTAGAATCTTAAATTTTTTTATTCTGTCATGCCCATCTCATCTTTATTTCAACACCTGAATTGTATATGTTGAGTACCACAGAAAATCAAGTTCTGCGTTATGTTTTACGCCATTTTATCCACCTCTCTGCTACTTTCTCCTTGTCAGTTCCGGTGGTTTCTCCAGCACCTGTTCTCAGTTAAAATATATAATATAATTCAGGTCTATACACAAACTTTATTTATAATTGTTAAAATTTAAAATTTAAAATTTTAACATCTGTAAATAAAGTTTGTGTATAGACCTGAATTATATTATATATTTTAATTATAAAACACAAACATGACGCATTTAAACCTTAAACCTGTTCTCAGACTTTTATTACTGATTAGTGTATAATTTCCTCAAGACTTTGTAATGATATTCCCAAAACGTCTTGAAAATTAATTTATTTTCAAGTTATAGTAGTATGTATTCAACGGATTATTTTTATCATTTTGAATTTTCTTTTGTTTTCAGTTTTTCGGCGTTGTAAGTGAAGGGTTAAAGCATTCTCTCTGCTCTTTGAATCAATTTAATGCTATCTTATAGTTCAAGGTGTAGTATTTCTCGAAGGCGATGC